GGAATCAGCATGGATTTGAAACACCAGAAGACTGAGCTTCAATTCTGGTTTCCCTGATTTGCTGTGTGACCTCATGTAAATCAACCACTTTCTCAAAGGCTTAGTGTTATGGGAATTTAATATATAATGTATTTCAATGGATTTTGTGAAATACTACCTGAAAGCCTTGGTTCATATTATTTAAAGCAGTGGTTCTCAACTGGGGACAATTTTACACATACACGTCCTAGGGATATTTGGCAATGTCTAGAGGCATGTTTTTACACTGCAGGAAAGAGGAGTGCTACTGGAACTTAGGAGGTAGAGGCTAGGATTGCTGCTCAATATCCTGCATTGCGCAGGGCAGTCTCTTTTTCACTCCTCCACAAAGAATAATCTTGCCCCAAATTTCAGTAGTATGGAGCTCATAAACCCTGATTTAGAGGTTGATATAATGAAAATTCAAAGGTGGTCGCTTAATAACAACATTCAAGAACATTTGTTTTTCTTAAATGATTAATTAATGATAGCCAGTAGTGATCAAATTCATCTCATGGCGTATTTTTTCTTCTCTAGCTTTATTCAAGTATCATTGACAAATGTAAGTAATATGTATTTTAGGTGTTCAGCATTCTTTTGATATACTCATATATTGTGAAATGATTAACATCATTCACATTATTTGGCTATGCCCGAACCCAAATCTCATCTTGAACTGTAGCTCCCATAATGCCCCACATGTCATGGGAAGGACCCAGGTGGCAGGGGGAAGGTAATTTGATTGCGGAGGAAGTTACTCTCATGCTATTCTCATGATAGTGAGTGAGTTATCATGAGATCTCATGGTTTTATAAGAGGCTTTTCCCTTTTTTGCTCACCACTACTCCTTACTGCTGCCATGTGAAGAAGGACATGTTAGCTTACCCTTCTGCCATGATTGTAAGTTTCCTGAAGCCTCTCCAGCCATAATGAAATGTGAGTCAATTAAACCTCTTTCCTTTATAAATTACCCAGTCTCAGGTATGTCTTTATTAGCAGTGTGAGAATGGGCTAATACAATCATCAAACTAATTAAAATTTCCATCAACTCACATAGTTACCTTGTGTGTGTGTGTTAAGAACATTTAAGATCTACTCTCAGCAAATTTTGAGTATATAATACAGTATTTTAACTACAGTCACTATACTGTACATTAGATCTCTAGAAGGTATTCATTCTGCATAACTGAAAGTTTGTACTCTTTGACCAACATCTTCCCATTTTTTCCACCACTACCCCATTCCTGGCAACCACCATTCTACTCTCTGCTTCTCTGTGTTTGATATTTTTAGATTAAAAAATACACAACAATGAGATGATGGTCTCTCAGTAAATAGTAATGGGAAAACTCGATATCCACATGATGAAAGAAATTAGACTTTTATCTCAGATTAAATGCAAACATTAACTCAAAAGGGATTAGACTTAAACATAAGATTTGAAACTATAAAAATCGCTGTAGAAAAATATAGGAAAAAATCATTTTCATATTAGCCTGTGCGATGACGACACCCCCAAAACATTGACAACAAAAGCAAAAATAGACAAATGGAATTTCATCAAACTAAAAAGCTTCTGCACAGCAAAGAAAATAATCAAAAGAGTGAAAATATATCCTATGGAATGAGAGAAAATATTTTCAAACTGTACATCATGCAAAGGGTTAATATCCAAAATGCATTAAGAACCGAAACAACTCAATAGAAAGAAGACAAATAACCCATTTAAAAATGGGCAAAAGACCTAACCAGACACTTAACAAAGAGGACATACAAATGGTCATCAGGAATATTTTAAAATCCTATACATCGCTAATTATCAGAGAAATGCAAATTGAAACTACAATGAGATATCACTTCAAACCTGTTAGAATGCTATTATTAAAAAACAAAACAAAACAACAACAACAAAAAAACAAAGCATTGGTGAGAATATCCAGAAGTGTCCTCTGCACATTGTTGGTGGGAAAGTAAATTGGTATAACCATTATGGAAAACAGTATGTACGTTCCTCAAAACATTAAAACTAAAACTCCCGTATGATCCAGCAATCCTACTCCTGGGTATATATCTAGAAGAAATAAAATAAACATGCTGAGATATCAGCAGTCCTATGTTCATTACAGCAGTATTTGCAATTGACAAGATATTGAATCAACCTAAATATCCATGTATGAATGAATAAAGAAAATGCAGTGTCTATATACAATAGAATATCAGTCAGCCTTTATAAAAGAAGTCCTGCCATTTATGATAGAATGGATGATCCTGTTTTTTTCAGATTCACCCATATAATGGGAGAAGATATTGTGATTCTTTGATCTAATGATCTTTCAAAAGTATGTATTTCTGTGTGAAAACACACATGTGTATGTGTGTTCAACATGTTCTTCGAGTGCTTTCAGCTTTGACCTATACAACAGAGCATCCCTGTAAAGTAAAGAGTGCAGAAAGTATTACACCCTTTTAACAAGTAAGAAAATCAGTATCTAGAGGCCACATGACTTGACTGAAGTCACAAAGCTATTACATAGTGAACAATTTTTTTGAGTGTCTGGACATTTTAATTTAATAGCTATATAGAAGCTGATACAGAGGGGCATTCATGCTAAGATTTATTATTTGTTTTGATTCAACATTTCAGTTTAAATCAGTAAGAATTGGTTAGTTATTGCCACTAAGCTTGTCATACCTAAATGACACAATTCCTGCCATCAAATTTTCAGAAACTAGGATAAATTTCTAATCTAAATATTGCATGAATATAATGATGTAAAGGAAAATTTGCTGATTTCTAAATTACTAGAGTGAACAGGTGTTCAAATAAATGTTCTAGGAAAACAGTGTACTCACATGAAATTTAATTAAAAAGTTAATATAAATAATGAACTCTTTCCAACATAACATATGTTATGTACTCTGACATACATATATACAAATATGTGTTATATTCCCAATTGGATTTCAAGTCCCTTGAAAACAGTGACTCCTTCTCCTACCATGGTTAAGATGGTACTTGGCACATATGAGGTTCCTAGTTTAAAGAAAATGCTTGGGGAGGGAGGAGGGCAAAGAATACATATATTTAAAATATTGTCTAGAAAATCAAAGAAGGATTATGTTAATGGAGTAATCATTATATTTAAAATGTGTGAATTATTATTTTAAAGGGTTTCCTATTATTAATAACATCCCTCCAAATAAATAGGACTCCCTTCACTGAATCAAATGCATGCATTGCCATGTATAAATCAAATGATCTGTCAGCATGGAATGGAGAAAAGTGAAACAAAGCAAACTGAATTTCAACCTTCTACTGAATGGACTTCATAGAGTTGTCCCTAAACCTCTTGGAACGTTAATCAAATAGTCCCTAGCTCATTGAGGTGGATTCTGTTTTTTCACTTCACTTGGAGACAAGATTGCTGTGAAATTCAAATAAAAACCCCTCTGTGAAAGCTGAACCATGAGGTAACTAGCATCCTAAACCTGCCTAACCTGCACACAGGCACCTACCAGTCAACAGTTCTCCAAGAACTGATTAGCTTATCATCAAGAACAAAACCAGCTGGGCAGAAAAGGAATCTTAAATGAGCAGTTTCTTAAAAAGAGGAAATAGAAGAAGAAAGATGATGGAAAGGAGGAAGGGACATGAAAAACAGCTTAGAGAGAAGAGAAAAAAAAATACCTTCAATCATTTGACCCCTCTAATTTCTCCCTATCAGTCATGCCCAGACTTCACTTTCTTCCCACAGCTTAGATTCTGGGTGCCCACTTTAAAGAATTCCTTTATCAATAGAGTATTTTCATTTCCTCTACATGGAATATTCACTGATTTGCTTTATTAATGTTGCAATCTGAACACTGCTGCTGAGAACTGGGAGATTTTTTTAAAATGTATAACCCTGTAAATGAGGGCTACGTCAAATTGATAGCCTCAAACCTTACTTGATGTCTCAACATTCTATGGATTCAACACAGAGCAATCATTCATATTTCCCCTACACTCCTCTCAAGCTACCTCCCTGGCCACTATTTCACTGACCCCAAGTGGGTCTGGAATCTCTACCAATTCTTGGGAGGAAGCTTGAGAGGAGTGAAATAGTGGCCGGGGAGGCCACAGATAAAACCTCCCTTTACAAATAATAGAATCCAAGACAGGAAATTTCTTCAGTGTTCTCCCACAAGTATCCAAGATAAGCTTCATTTCCATTCATTTTCCTCTCTTCCTCCCACCACAGTATATGAGACTGTGTCACTTGTTATCTAAGGGCAATCCCTCCAGATGTGCTCCGGTGAATTTCTCCAGAACTTGTTCCTTTGAGCTATCCCCATGCCAATGTGTGTCATCAACCCCATCCCACTTTCTCCCATGAATTCTTTCCATCTACACAGACAATTTGTTCACCCATGTTAAGACACTGAAGTTTTTCCCAGATTAACAAACCACAAACCAAACTGAGTATGTGTCCTCTTCCAGTTACTAACATTTTTGTTTTCAGCCCTTTGCAGAGTAACTTCTATAACAAATGTGCATACTCCTAGTCTGTCATTTCTCATCCCCTATTTCCAATTCAACCCATTATCATCTGGCTTTCTTCCCTTCATTCATTTCCCATCCCAATGGCACATGCCACTGTGCAATATGTAATTCATAAATATTTGGTGAATGAATCAAACTTGTTTTCCCCACCTCTCCACTATCTTTAGCCAAGTTTATCAAAGACCTCACTGTTGCTATATCCAATAAATGTTTCTCATTTCTTATCAAATGGGCTTATCCATAGCATATGACACTGCTGTCATCATGTCGCCTGAATTCCTTTTTTTTTTTCCTGTAACAGCTCTATTAAGCTAGAATTCACATGCCTTAAAATTCACCTTTTTGAAGTACACGATTGAGTGATTTGTAGTATGTTAACAGAGTTGTGTAATCTTAACCACTATCTAATTCCAGAACGTTTATATCACTCCAAAGAAACCCCATACCCTATAGCAGTCACTCCCAATTCTCTTCTTCCACCCATTCCCTGGCAACCACTAATCTACTTTCCATCTCTATGGATTTAACTATTCAGGACATTTTATGTAAGTGAAGTCATTTAAAATGTGGTCTTTTGTGACCGGCTTATTTCACTTAGCATAATGTTTTCAAGACTTATTCATGTTGTAGCATGTATCAGTCTGTCATTTTTAAATGCCTGAATAATATTCCTTTGCATAAACATACCATGTTTTGTTTATCCATTCACCTGTTGATGAACAATTGGGTGGCTTCCAATTCGTTACTATGAATAATGCTGTTATGGAAATGTGTGTACAAGTTTTTGTATGGAAGTACATTTTTATTTTTCCTACATACCTAAGACTGGAATTGCTAGGTCATATGGTAACTCTATGCTTAACATTTTGAAGAACTATCAAGTTTATTTCCAAAGGAAGTACACTATTTAACATTTCTTCCGGTAATATATGAGGGTATCATTTTCTCCACCATTTTCATCTTTGTCAAACTTGTTACTGTCTTTTTAAATTTTAGCCATCCTTGTCAGTGAGAAGTAGTGTCTCATTTTAGTTTTCTTTTGAATTTTCTTTGTGTCATATTACGTTGAACATCTTTTCATGGGCTAATTGGCCATTTCTAAATCTTTGTTTGAAGAGGAATGTCTACTCAGATATATGCCCATTTTAAAATTGCATTATTTGTCTTTATTGTTGAGTTGTGATCATTTCTTATATATTCTGGATGCAAGTGTCATGAAATACATGGTTTGCAAACATTTTTTCCCATTATTTGGGTTGCGTTTTCACTTTCTTGGTGGTGACCTTTGAAGCAAAAAGTTTTTAAACTTGATCTTATCCAGTTTACCTACTTATTCTGTCATCACTTATGCTTCTGATGTCATATCTAAGAAACTTTTGCCTAATCCAAAGTCATGAATATATACTACTATATTTACTTATAAGAGTTTTGGGCTGGGTGCGGTGGCTCACTCCTGTAATCCCAGCACTTGGGGATGCCAAGACAGACGGATCACAAGGTCAGGGGTTTGAGACCAGCCTGGCCAACATGGTGAAACCCTGTCCCTACTAAAAATACAAAAATGTGCCTCGAATGGTGGTGTGCACCTGTAATCCCAGCTACTCAGAAGGCTGAGGCAGGAGAATTCCTTGAAACCCAGAGGCAGAGGTTGCAGTAAGCTGAGATCACGCCATTGCACTCTAGCCTGGGCGACAGAGCAAGACTCCATCTCAAAAAAAAAAAAAGTTTTTTTTTTACTTTTATCTCTGATATTTAGGTCCATGATCCATTTTGTGTTAGCTTTTCTGAACAGTGTGAGGAAGTGTTCCCCTTCATGTTTTTCCAGGTAGACACCCAGTTGTTTGAGCACCACTTGTTGAAAAGACTATTGTTTACATATTGATTTGTCTAGGCAACCTTGTCAAAAATCAATTAATTATATTGTACATATTTATTTCTGAATTTTCATTTCCACTGCATTAGTTTCTAGCCTATCTTTATACGAGCACTACATTTTCTTAAATACCATACTTTTGTTATAAGTTATAAAATTTAAAAAACTCACTGTTGCTACATCCAATAAATGTTTAAAAACCATTTTGGTCCTTCTTGGTCCCTTGCATTTTCCTATAAGTTTTAAAATCAGTTTGTCAATTTCTACAAAAAGAGGCACTAGGATTTTGATAGGAACTGCATTGAATTTATAGTTCAATTTGGGAAGTACTGCTATCTTTATATTAAATTTTTCAATCTGTAAGTGTGGTTTAAGTTCAATTTATTTAGGTCTTCTTTAATTTCCTTCAGCAATATCTTGTAGTTCCAGTGTACATATCTTGCATTTCTAAGCCTCGTGGGCTATATATTTTAAAAATAATTAATAAACTTTGGTACAGAAGAAATTAAAGTATCTAATAATTATAAGTTACCCAAATATACTCCCAATGAAGAATCTTTCTGTGTTTTTATTTCATTAAAATAGGAAACTCTTTTAATGCATGTATGGTATTATACACTTTAGTGTTTGGGCCAGCCCTTCTTGTTTCTTAGTGTGTTTCACAGTTTTGTGTTAAAAACTGGCCATTTTTCATAATCTAATGTGGCAACTCTGGAAATAAAATTCCTCTTTTCCCAGGGTTTCCTATTGTTACTGTTTGTTGTTGTTGCTGCTGTTTGAAGTTTGTTTGTTTAGTGACTTTCCTCAGCTTATTATATAAAGTCTGCACTCTGTTGTGTGTGGCCACCGAAGCCTCTGCCGAGTTAGCTTAGTGGTCAGTGAATGATTGGATAAAAATTTCCGTGAATGACTTGAACCCATAGGTCTCTCACACTTTGCCACGGAGCTCTGAGTGAATGTGTTGGGGCACTGTTTATGGAGACAGTGTCAGCCAGCATAAGAGATTAGGATCTTCTCAAGTCATTCCTGGCCATTTTCACAGCCCTGCACATGTACGTGGTTTTTCTAGATGCCCTAAAATATGTTGGAGTCTTTTAAAGCCCCCTATAAATGTTTCATTTTTCAGCTTTTTCCTTTAAGATTCTTAGCCTCTTATTTGCTGTAATTGATGCAACTGGTATTACTACCTCAGGCAGCTTCAATTTAAATGATGGACACCGTTCATTTTTCACAAACACCCTGGGGATACAGCATTTCCCCACTGAATGAGCTCTGAGTCAGTAAAAATAAAGCCAGTCCCCATGAATAGGGCTTTCCAGGGAGTTGTCAGGCAGGTCAAACAGTGACAGGTCCCTGGGAATGGACTTTTGGGAGATCTCTAAAGACTTTCTATCCCCTCCAGTAGCTGTAAGACTGCTGGTTTTTCACAACTACCATGCTTGTGAGGCTGTTGGTTTTCACTGCTACTGTGCGGGAAAACGGAAATAGTAATAGTGTGTGTTAAAATGCTACAAAGCTCTTTGCTGTTCTTACAGAGATTCAGTTACTTTTTTTTTTTTTCTTTTTTTTTTTTTTTTTTTTTTTTTTTTTTTGAGACGGAGTTTCGCTCTTGTTACCCAGGCTGGAGTGCAATGGCGCGATCTCGGCTCACCGCAACCTCCGCCTCCTGGGTTCAGGCAATTCTCCTGCCTCAGCCTCCTGAGTAGCTGGGATTACAGGCACGTGCCACCATGCCCAGCTAATGTTTTGTATTTTTAGTAGAGACGGGGTTTCACCATGTTGACCAGGATGGTCTTGATTTCTTGACCTCGTGATCCACCCGCCTCGGCCTCCCACAGTGCTGGGATTACAGGCGTGAGCCACCGCACCCGGCCAGTTATTTTTCCTTAAAACGTTCTCCAGATTGTTACAACTTTTTGATCAAGTTTTACAGCTCTCGAAAAGTTTATTTTGTCAAATTTTTAATGTTCTTTTTTGCTTTTATGAAGTAGATTTTCAGAAGTCTTTACCCCAGCTTTCAGAAAGTGTTCCTTCTCTAATTATCTCTATCTCTCTGGCTACTCTTGGGAGGTTTAAAGGCTTTTCTTTTTAATACGTATGGCCCATTGCTGGTTTTGTTCTTGCTGTTGTTGTTGTTAGAGTTCTATATTAGATGCTCTTCCGTGCTCTCTCACCTTTAATCAGGTCCTTGGATGTCCTGATTCACTGCTATGGCTTCTGTTAGCATCTTTGTGATGGAGACTTCTCATCTGTAACTCCAGCACATGTGCTTCTCCTGAACTCCACACTCCTTTATCGAAGTGTCTATGGATATCTCTTGAAGGACCCATAGGCATCTCAAACCCAATCTGTTCAAAACTAAATGCACCATTGACTTTTTCCTCCTACCCCGTATCTGCCATTTTGATGTCTCTTATCACGTTTCATGGTACTACTATATACATGGTCAAAAAAACAACCAACAGTAACCCTTCATACTTCCTTTCTCTATCCCATACAGCAGCTCAAATGGTTGTTTTATCTGATCATCAAATTTTCCTGCATTTTGATAACATTACTTTCCATTTCTTGGCCATTTGCTACATTTAGAAGGGAATTAAAGTGCTTTAATGAAATCTACAAAGAACTTCAAGATTTGGATTCTGTCATGCTCTCCAGGATCATGTTTTTATACTCTGCCAGCCACCTTGAATTTTCATTTTTATATTTACCTTATCTTTAGTATTTGCTGTCCCGAGAGAGATCTCTGTGTGCTTGTATAAGTGCTCATATATTTTTGCTTCTGCTGCCTTGAAGTGGATTCTGCTACTTGCAACCAAAGAATCCTAAATAACAACGTAAGCTTCACAGCATAACTACGGCATTAGTTATCTTACTTTACCCATTATTCTAATTTTTTGCACTAATATATCTACCCTTAGCTGAGCTGATGAGGCTGTTTTCATATCCAGTGTGGTCCAGACTCTTCCAGTCTGTTTTCTTGTTATGTTCTTAACAGAACGCATCAGCAAACTCTCTCCTCACAACTTGTATTATGCCAAGACATCAGCCCTACCCATCAATTTAGTCTCTGAAATTTAGTTGCTATCTCTCTCTCATTTTTTCTTTCTCTTCTCAGACAAAATCCTCCTTCTATGAGGAAGAAAGGAACATGGTGTGTTTACTAGCTAAAATTTACAACTAGTATATGACCTGTTATTGCCCTAGCAGCAAAACCCTATTGGACACTTTTCTCTTTTCTGTATCCAGTATATGTAGATTACGTAACCCCTTTGCAAAGTGTAAAATGGCACACACTGGTTATTATGAATTCTAACTGCAGGGAGGCAGATTTCGGTTTGGGGATTGTTATTTGTCTAAATTCATGTTTATTGATTATGGGGGCAATTTAAGATACAAGTTGGTCTTTGGCTCTGACAAGCGTGTGTTGCAGACCTGTTTCCTCTTACTGGGTTCATGACTTTGAGATAGTGTTTTCACCACTCCATCTCACTTTGTTTCTTTCCTTTCTTAAAATTTATAAAATCTGATAAAGTCCATCAAAACTTGAGGATTGTTAGGAGAATTAAACTATGTAAATGGACATAAAAAGCCTAATACGGGATCTTGTCAGTGATAGCCATTCAATAGATGACAGCTTAGCTTATTGTCATCAGCGTGATCATTCACCATGCAACCTCTGCTTTTAACAGATTTCAGCCTGTAATCTTTTGTTTCTCCTTTCTAATCCTGCACTTCCTCTGACTGTTCCATTTTGGTTCTGAGGAAGGAGGCTGCTTCTGTCTGAATCTGGCAGATCCTGAAAATCTCTGCTTGGCTTTGTCAGACAAGTTCAGGCATGTACAGACATGTCCATGAATTTCTCAGAAGGTTGACTCTGCCAAAGCCAGAACACCACTCCCCCGCTTCCCACTGAGTCCTGCGCTCCAAGCTGTTGGACATAAGTTTGTGCTTTCAAAACTTCAGTATTTACACGGAGTCTATGACTCCGATTTACCCTGTGTCCAGCTGCTGATACTTATCTTGAAATTTCTAAGGGCAAGGCTGCAATCAAAGCATCAGGGCACAGAAATGAACAAATAAAGATGTTTGGGGACTGCCTGCTTTTCTCATGCGATTTGCACATTTTTCTTGGCTTGCGTAATCTGAGGAGGCTGGGACCATGGGCCCCTTCATTCCCTGGCCCAGTGGCAGCACATGGCAATGTTACAAATACAGGAGCTGGACATTCAGGGGGGGGCCTCACCCCTGCTAGGAAAGCATCCACCTCTGTGCCTCCCAGACAGCGTTGACGCATTCAGACAAGCTGGACAAAGAACGTACAGTCTACATTCCCTGGCCTTTGAAGGGAAGATGTTGCAATGTACAAGCAGTTGAAGTGTTTTGCCTAATTCATCAAAACATTCACATTTGCTAGTAATACAATGCATCTATGATGAGAAGGACTCAGGGGAAAGCACTGTGGATTAAGGGTAAAATGGCTCATGTCTCCTAATTTCTACCATTCGGCTAAGCTTTGAAGCAGCCTCCCTTCATTCATGAAAGTGTTGCAGGGTTGTTAAAAATGCATGAGCTTTGGTACCAGATGGCTCTGTGGTTCAGACCTGCTAGCTGTGGGATCTTGGGCAACATACCCTTTCTAAAGCCTCTGCTCTCATCTGGAAAGTAAGGGCAGTAAAACTAAACTCTTAGAGCTTTTACAAGGATTCTTTGAGATGATATATATTGCTTAGCAGGGTAACAGACACAGTAAGTGCTATAAATGAACTTTTATCATTCACCTACTTTTTAAGTGCCTACCGTGTGCCAGGCACTCAGCCACACACTTAGCACTTCCTTGCACCTCCATTTGGTTGGTCATTGCAATGGGAGTTGAGAGACAAGGAGAAGTGTATTTTGAAAGAGGCAAAGAAGAAACTGACTTTAGTCCCAGTATCACATAAAACTAATCCATATGGCCTTGAGCAAGAGATGTCTCTCTAGACCTCAGTTACTTCAGCTGAAAAGCAAAGTGATCATTTCTGCCCTATGAGCCAATGGGAAGGCATAAAAAATATTATTACAATATAATAGATGGCATTAATCTAGAGCTTATTTGCTTCTCATCACTTTCTAAGCATTTTACATTTACTGATTTATTTACTCTTCACAAGTACCCTGGGAGAATTATTACATAGATTCAACCAACAAAGGGATTAAGGGACAAAGAAGTTAAATTGATTTGTTCATAGATAGTAACCAGAAATCAGTTAGTCTGGCTCCAGAATCTTTTCCCCCAATCATCACACTTTGTACTTGGTGGACAGTAAAACCTTGTATAAATATGAAGATTTTTACTATGCCAGAAAATTCTACCTAAAAACCTAGTATTTTGATCTAATCATTGTAGGCTCCAATGTGGTTATTTTTAAGAGAACTGAAGCAATTTCTCTATGATGAATTTTATTCAGGATTTTAATATAAAAATTTTCAAACAAGCAGTATAGTTTAAGTATTTTATAGTAATCATACATAAAGTAAACATACATACTACTCAGGTTCTATAATTAACATTTTACTATTAAAATAATTATCTTATCACATATCTCTCTCTAGATCTCTCCCCATCTCTCCCCATCAATCCATCTTATTTGTGACACATTTAAAACTAAGTTGGCAGGCACCACTCTGTTTCACCCAATTCTCCAGTATGAATGTCATTAATTAGAATTAATTATAATTTAATCTACTTTATGATCCATTTTGTCCTTTTCCGAAATGAATTTTAGGTTTCATATCTGGAATGAAGAGTCATGAATCTCAGGAAATACTTTAACAACAAACCATGGGAGAGTCTACTTTTAATATTGTCACTTCATTAATATTGTCATTATCGTTACTATTGTAGCTGATGTTCACACCTGATTTCTCAATCCTAAGAGCCCGTCTTCTATTCAGCTGCTGTTTTTCCTGTTCAGACCTTCCATTGCATCCCCAGACATAATGACTCCTGCTCAATTTTTCCCACTTCCACCCTCACCCTCTTGTGCCCAAACTCAACCACAGTCTGCTCTCTGCCAGACCTCCATATATCCAGTGGGATTCCAATGCTGCCACAGAATTCCACATGATACCCAAGTATCTGACTGATCCAGCCAATTATTACAATAGCACCTTATATTTGGTTGGTGCTGGACCATTATTTCATTCAGTAAGTATTTACCAAGAGCCTATTTAACCAGGTGACCAGGAAAGGGCAAAGAGGGAGCCGGGAACATTGAGTAAAGAAAGAATTAGATCGACTAACTCACATGTATTACATAACTTCTATGTATACAACATTGCCACCAAGGAGTTATAGTCAGTCGGGGTGGGAGGGAACAAATGCAGATGAAACAATTGGAGACCAGCTATAGAGAGAGAAACAACCAAAATTTCTATGTAGTCACGTAGAATGGTTTATGTGCATGTCTGCCAAAGAGATGTACAGTAAAAATGCTTGTAGGATTCTACTTCTGGAGAGAAATGAGACTATAAATTAATATTGGTTAGATCTAAGGGCATGTCCTAATACAGGCGATAAAAGAGGGGTTTTTTTAAAAAAAAATAGAATTATTAAATGTTTTTGTGAAAAAAAATTATGTTAGGCAATTGATAAAATGTCTTAGAATATATGAAGAGGCCAGGTGTGGTGGCTCACACCTGTAATCCCAGCAATTTGGGAGGCCAAGGCAGGCAGAACACCTGAGGTCAGAAGTTCGAGACCAGCCTTGCCAACATGGTGAAATCCTGCCATCTCTACTAAAAATACAAAAATTAGCCAAGCTTGGAAGCGCATGCCTCTGATCCCAGCTACTCAGGAGGCTGAGGCAGGAGAACCACTTGAACTCGGGAGGTGGAGTTTGCGGTGAGCTGAGATCATGCCATTGAACTCCCGCCTGGGTAAGAGTAAGACTCTGTCATGAAAAAAAAGAAAAAAAGAAGTTGTGAAGAGATTGAGTGAATGAGTCAAAAACTTAAAGCTGGAGCCAGAAGCCACAAGGATGAATTTGATAAAATTAGAAAAATGGTTGTGATTCAGAGATAATATCTTTTCTAATATTGTTAGAGCTGAAAGTGTTTGGGCCCTAATCAGACAGAGACGAGTTGTAACGTTCTACTTAATTGATGAAGGATCAGTAAACAGAGATTGGAACCCCGTGAAGTGACTAAAGAGGGATCCAACAAGAAGAAGCCAATGATTATAAAGACTGAAAGAACTATCGGTAGCAAATTCAAGAAGTCATGTGGAATGAACACAAGTTGGTGTCCTGATTCCGTTGCCGTCTAGGTAAAAGTACTCAAGATGTATGAGCTCCAGCTTTCTAAGTTATAAAGTAGAACAAAATTTTCTCTTAAAGAATTTTGTATGGGTTGAATGAGATGCTAAACAAAACATGTCTAGCATAGGACCTGGTTCAGTTTGTTTTCTGCACTTAGGTCCTGTCAGCCTAAAAAGTATAGAATTGTGCAAATTTCCACTGAACATCATGAACATTTTTTGTGGCCAGAGTTAACGGATCTGGCCCATGTTCTACATTGCCCTTGAGCATGTGTGGTGACTTTGAGTGATTTTTTTTTTTTTTTTTTGAGGCAGAGTCTCGCTTTGTTGCCCAGGCCAGAGTGCAGTGGTGCGACCTTGGCTCACTGCAACCTCCACCTCCTGGGTTCAAGTGATGAGTGAATAATTTTTAAAAAATAAAATAAAAATTCACCTTTTTGGGGCCTATTAGTTGTTTGAATTTCTTCCTCAGATAAAAATAATAATAAAAATAAAGCCATCATTTCACCAAGCCTGGACACATAGGTTGATGAATACAGCACAGATTGGGTTTGAGACCCCATTCATCCTCTCAGCCATGACAGCCCTCTCTGTCCATGGCTGCAAGCACATTATTGGGAGAAGAGAGAAATTAGACTATCAGATACACCAAAAAGGGAGTTAGTAGGTACCATCAAAAGAGCCATTTAGAAACGAAGAACCATCTATTTGGGTGACTGGAGTTGACTGAAGGCTTTAGAGAACTTCCAGTGTCTTCTCTTCTCTAGGATTCCAGAGCTAAGACTCTATATTCTATGGTAGCCTCAACTCCACCACATGATACAACCCTTTGTATATAAATAGGGTTACATTAAAGATGATAATCTATATTTTATTTTTTATAACAAAGGATTTTAACTCCAAACATCAACTTGTTAACTCTTTGAAGACTATATATGCCATATGTAGGCTCACATGAAGCCCATTCACTCCAGGTACCTTATGGTATTTACTGTGTTTTACAGTTACTTCCCCATTTCCCCCTCTTTCATGTTAGATGATGAATCAATTTGGAGAGGAACTCTCAACACTTCCAAGGACACTACCTTGTCAGGATGCTCCCAGAACTGGTACTTCTAGCTGTTCTGCACTTCCAGGCATCCTCAAAATGCCAAAGTTTGACTGTGTGATCCCCCACACTGAGAAGGAGGTTATTTGCATCCATTCAGTGCCATGCTTCTCTTCCTGAATACCAAAGATGCCGTCTTTGTTCTTCCATGCACCACAGAAATCCTGTGTAATTACCTATAACCTCAGTCTCCAGGCTATGACAGGCATGTCATAGGCACACAGTGTTCTCACCATTCCACTTTCCTCCTTCCCTGAAACCTTCCCCATTCCACCACCTCCAACCATGACAAAACTATGTATATAAATAAACATGTAGCCAGCCAGTTTTCAAACAGGTATGAATCTCAGTGTAAGCCGCAGTTTGGGCTCATATTACTACATATAAATCTATCAGGGGTATCTTTGAAGTCCTTCACAGGATGCCCAACTGAACTGTGTTTTGGGGATACATTTTAAATGGAAAAGCAGTTGATCCTGCTGTGCAGAAGTGCAGTCAAATAAAGATAGGTTTACTTTTTAAACGAAAGTGACTTTTTTTAACAGAATAAAACAGACTCATTTTAAACATTTTTTAAAAAAATTTTACTTTAGATGTATACTATATCTGACATTTCTCTTAAGATTTTAGATAAACAAAATAAAAGAAGTAAAGATCAAAAGAAAGAGAGAGAAAAGGAAGGAAGGGAGGAAGGAAGGAAGGAGGAGGGAAGGAAGGAAGGAAGGAAGGAAGGAAGGAAAGAAACTGTGGAAAAACTCACAATCCAGACAAGACATCTGCTCAATTTTGGATTGTATCATTCCAGAACTATCCACAACATACTTAACTAGCTTCTAATTTTTAAAGTAAAACCTTTCCAGTGTTTTGCTATTTAAAAACATGAACATTCTTATATCTTGCACAAGGTTCATGATTAGCAAACTAGAATACATTTTTAGAAGTGAAATTAGTTTCACACAACCCCACAGCCAATCATTTGGCAATTTTTGCCAACTTCATTCAAAAAGTATATCCCAAATCCCAGTACTGACCATTATTTCTCCATCCACTATCCCACTACCTCTCCCCATACTCCATCTCCCAAGTTCATTACCCTAGCCCACTCCTCCCAGTCCACTCCTCTCCCTAGTCCATCTTTCTCTTTCTGGTCCACTTTCTTTAGTCCATTTCACCATTGTCTGTCACCTGAGTCCATCATCCTATTCCATGTCTCCTATCCACCTTTCCTTAGTCCATTTTCACCTCATTCATCACCCTAGTCCCTCACCCTGTTCCATTTTCCCCTAGTCTACCTCCCCCAGACTATCACCCTAGTTTACTTCCCACTGGTGAGTTCATTTCCCCTTTATCCATCACTCTAGTCCCTCACTCCGTTTCACTTCCTCCTATCACCAACATTGCTTGTTTCCCTGCCTCTACATGGGTCCTTTAGTTTGTTTTCCACTTAATGGAATGAGAAAAAAAGGAAAATCAGATCCTATCAATCTCTTAGAACACTTGGAATCAAATCCCCATCATGGGCTCACAGACCTTCAAAAAACTGTCTAATCTCTACTCCCATTTATCAAGAATTAAAGGGAATAGTTTCAACTTGACCTGCCCATGTTATTTTTATGTTTATTTTCTTAACATTAGCACAAAATAATGTTCAGAAAAGTTCATTAACTAGATTTTCATCTGGTTATGAGCTTTCCTAGAAAATGACTCAAAGTAAATATGATGTAAACTTCAACAGTAAACATATGTTTCTCCATAAGTGAACTCCCTTTTACATATATAACTATTTAGAAATAATGTGTGTAAAGGGAGAAATGAAAACCTTAAAAAAAAAAAAAAAAGCCCAAGAAGGTAAAACTTGAGAGACTGTTTGGTTTAATAGAAAAAGCTTAATCTCTGGAATCAGACCCATTTGAATTCAAATTCTAACACCTAATTGAGTGTTAATTTTAATACTCGATTGAGATTTAGGTGTTACAAATGTACCTGGTTACTCAATGAGTAAATGATGGTTCTTGAATTTGAATTCAAATAGTTCTGATTCCAGAGATTAAGATTTTTATAATAATCTATAATACAGAAATAATTATCATCTATAATACAGAAATAATTATTATCTATAATACAGAAATAATGATCACTTCTGTTTTTGTGTCCTAGTTAGGATTAAATAAAATACCAGCCATAAAAGCCATCTAGAACTTTATTTGATATGGTCAATAAATAAAGACTGGTTTTATCTACATTCTTATCATATTGGTGACTACAGCTCTTCATTCTAAAACCTTGTAGAGAAAGGACATAGTGGAATAAAGAGCTGTTCTCCAATAAGTGAGGTATCATTTTTATGGAACAAAGGGATGCTCTTAGGACAGAACTAAAGTTACTATTTAACAGATCCTGACCATGAGGAAACTTGGTTCTGCCAGGTAGCACTACACAGCAAATAATGGGACTCCCCATAAAGGAGTTTAAAACTGAAGCCCTCAAGAAGAGGCAGGAAAGACAGTCATAGGTAAAATTAGATCCTATATAATGTCACCCCTGAACTGTTACTAATCCTTAAATTTCCTTCATCAGTGCACCTCTATTTTGCTTGATAAAGGCAGATATTTGAAGGAAGAATATTCCCACAGTCTCTCAAGCCATACCTCTCAAACAATCTTCTTCTCCATTGAGATAGAAACTTGGTGTTCATGTGCAATTATGAAAGTTAATAAACTCCAACATTCATTTTTAATATCTCAGCAGTTTGCCAGGAGTATAAAAATGCCAATATTCTGAGAAAATTATTGTTTACAAATATAATTTGGAGCTCCTAAGTCCTTTGGTTATCAGCAGATTACAGTAAGAATAACATCACATCTTGTGTTCTGGTACTCCCTATGTAAGCCCAGTTTCTTCTGCTTTTAACACCTTTCCATCTTCAGTAGTAAAGTCACTGCACTAAGCTGTTCATTAGCTGGAGACGAAAGGGAAGTAGAGGACTTACTGATGTCTTCCCAGTAAATTGTGCAGTTTTGCATGTTTTCCATAACAGCTGGTACATATCTATAGTCTGAGTCCTATAGTAAGACATCATCAGAATTTAGCCTTCTCAGCCAAAACATGCGGTGTAAGAGAAAGAGATGGCTCCAGCCCCTGTGAAACTCTTGCTCACTATGTGACCTTGAACAGTTTGCTCTGTTTCAATCTCTGTGCATCCTGGTTTCAAATATAGGCTTTGAATTAGGACAAATAACTAATGCGTGCAGGGCTTAAAACCTATATGACAGGTTGATAGGTGCAGCAAACCACCATGGTACATGTATATCTATGTAACAAAACTGCATGTTCTGTACATGTATCCCAGAAGGTAAAATAAAATAAAATGTATTTTTTAAAAAGAATATAGGCTTTGAATCACACTAATCTGTATCCAAAGCCTGGCTCTGCTACTCACTAACTTTGTGATATTGGCTGAGTTTCCTAATCTTTCAGAGCCTGAGTTTCCTCGTTTCTAAAATGGCGACTATAGCAATCATTCATTCCCCACAGAGGAATTCCTCTGTGACAATTATGGTCATAACTCATACTGTTAATTGCAATACTGTATGTACAGTGCTTAATCAAGTGCCTAGTATACGGTAAGTGCTCAGTAAATGTTCCATCATTACAATAATTAGATAAATATATTCTAATCCTAGAGAAGCCCTATGTGTATCAGCTGGTGTCCTCGATTCTGTGTCATTAGTTGAATGTCTGACTGAGACATTGCTATTTTCCCAGTCACTCAAGCTAGAAATGTTTATTTATTTAACAATGGGTCATTTGGGCTCCTACCATGAGTCAAGTAGTTGGTAAGTTGTTGGATGCTCAATATAATAGAGCCTCTGGCCGGGCGCGGTGGCTCAAGCCTGTAATCCCAGCACTTTGGGAGGCCGAGGCGGGTGGATCACAAGGTCAAGAGATCGAGACCATCCTAGTCAACATGGTGAAACCCCGTCTCTACTAAAAATACAAAACA